ATAGTGATTTGTGATATTTAATAATTTTTGATTAATAATATTTTTTAAACATTTGTTTTGGGAAAAATATTAGTTTGGCACTAATTTATTGTTTAATTACTAGATAAGCTCTTATTTTATTTTAATTATTACTGATTTTTTCGTATCTATTTTGTCCTCAAATCCTTTGTTAGTAAAAACCTTATTTACAGGAATGCCATAATCAAAAATTTCGAAAAATAAAAAATAAAAAAATTTTGGTTTGCCATATGATAGACTTAATTTAATGTGATGACAGATTTATTTTTCGATAGACTTATTTTATTTTGGCCACAGATTTACTTAATATTGACAAATTTATAAATATTTCACAGATTTACTTAACATATTTTTTTTTGCCATAAACTTACTTAAGTTTGACAAACTTAATTAGTTTTCATTAGATTTATTTTCTTTTGACCACAAATTTTCTTAAATTTGATAGACTTAATTAGTTTGTCACAGATTTATTTTCTTTTGCCCACAAATTTACTTTATTTTGACAGATTTATTAGTATTCGATAGATTTTTTCCACTTTAGCCACAAATTTACTTAATTTTGAAAAACTTAACTATTTCCATCACAGATTTTTTTATATTTAGAGACAAATTTTCTGAAATTTGACAGATTTAATTAATTTGTCACAAATTTATTTCTTTTTGGCAACAAATTTATCTTATTTTGACAAATTTATCTTATTTTGACAGATTTATTATTATTTGATAGATTTATGTCACTTTACCACCAATTTACATGATAGATTTATATTCTTTTGACCACAAATTTATTTTCTTTTAACCATAGACTAAATTATATAGGTTAACTTAACTATTTCAATTTGGCTAAACCAAACCGGGACCATACTATATTAACCGAACCAAACCGTTTAAACCGGAATAAACCGAATATTCAATTTTGAAAAAATATGTTGACATCGTCTCCCCCTCATTGTCAGATCTAGTAAGAAACAAGACACCATTATGTTTAAAAATTCGTGAAGCGTGAATCAGGCGCTTGGATTGGACCTAGCACCTAGTAAACAAATCAGAGATTTATCGTTGGACATTTATCGTTGGACTAATAGGAGATTAAATTTTGTGATTTTGCCAATATATTGGCGTATATATTAAATTTGGAAGATATTGTCCCTGAGGTAACATGGTCAAGTCATGTGGCTATTAGCTCGTAACTCAATTGCGTTTGAATACAGGTCATGGGTTCAAGTCTCCCACTAGACATTTTTATCACGTTTTTCATCATTTTGCTTTAATGAAATTAAAAATGACTCTTATACCCCTGTCTTCTTCCTCTCGACAATGTAATCTCATCAGAAATCCAAACCGCCGTTTCCATGAACGGTTTCACTGTTTTTATGATTTTTCTTTCTTTTTTTTGTTGTTGTAGATCTATCATCTAACTATCGATCCATGACATAGATCGAATCAAATTTTTTGATTTATTTAGCGAATTGGGTATAACCGCAACGGTCGGTGCACTCGAACGAACCACCGCCGTGGAATCTGTCTGCTTGGACGCCTTTTCGAACAATCTCATAATGAGATTCAAAAGATATATTTTAAGAAATGAATCAAAGCGAAACAAAAAAATCAATTGGAACAAAAAGGTGGTGCTTGCTCAGATTCTATGGGTGTAATGTGAGTCTATCAAGCTAATGGCTTTTAGTACGAAGAATTACTTTTACAATCATCACAAAAACGAAAGTATAAAGCTGATACAGGAGAATTGGTCCATGCCTAAGACCATCCACATCGGTGAGACAATCCTCTTAGTTTCTTACATATATTTTATTAATATTTATTTTACATAATTTAAAAGTATAATTAAAAAATAAATAGTTAAAAGATTAATCCAATTCTATAGTGACACATCATGAAGTAAGATTCATAAAGAGTTCTAAAGTATCACTGCGATGAAATGTT